GAGGCTGCGAGCTGGCCCTGGGCACCCAGCTGACTCCCAGTGGAGACTGAGGCCAGGGACACGCCCACCCCCGGCAGCAGCTTAGGGGCACCCACTGGATCAGCGAGTTCTACGACCACCTGCCAAGGGCCCCTGCCTTCGCCCTGACAGCAGAGGGGACCTGCCCAGCCCACTTTACCACAAAGAGGCCTGGGGCCACACATTGGCCAGGCACTTCAGAGAGAACTCCCCCCACCCCTCAGGGCTCCACGTGGGGAAAGGCCATGCCCAGAGCCCTGGAAGCCTCCACACCGCACAGAGGAAAGGTTGCAGAACCCTGCAAACAGCCTAGCGGCCAGCCACAGTCAAGCCCCAGGAAGAAGGGACCATCCCCAAGAGAACAGAGACGCACACAGGAAGCCAGGGTGAGCCAGGCCGGGCCCGGGCCTTGCACATCTGCCTTTCACTCTATTCTCAGGCAAGCCTTGGAATTTCCTTCAGCAATATTTACTCAGAAGTGTGTTCGTGGCTTACAAAAACAAAACAACAACCACAAAAGCAAAGCTAATGATGATGGAGCACCCTGATCTCGCATGCTCTAGGGGTGCCGGAAGGAGCCCAAGGACAGGTTCAGAAACGGGCCTCCAGGAGAACCTCTCCAAGCCGGGCCTCGGTGCTAGAAGCTTCCAGACGCCTCCCCAAGCTGGGCCTTGGTGCTGGAAGCTTCCAGACATCCCTCCAAGCCTGGGCCTTGCTGCTGGAATCGACATGAAACACCAGAGAGACGCGTGAGGCTAAGGAAGGGCGCGAAACCCCCAGCCTGGCCTGGGCCTGGCTTGCCAGGACTTGGGTCAAGGCAGAATCTCCTCCTGGGGCCGGGGCGGACCCTGTGATGCCAGAAGCCACCTCAGCGCCTTGGTAAGGGCGAGCTGTGAGTGCCCAGTGTGCCCACCCAGCCACTACACTTTGTTCTGGTGCTTTCCTGGCAAACGGGGTGGTACGGGGCGGGCGGGACATGCCAGAGCTGCAGGCACTTGCATGCAACCTTGCTACACACGACAATGCATCATACAAGCACTGCTGCACGGCACACAGCAGGCCCAGCCGCATTCCGGCACCGCCTCTGGTCACGCAGCTGCCAGACCTTCCCCAATGCCAGGCACCGTGAGCCAGAGCGGGGACTAGTTGCAGTGCGCTGGGCTCCAGGAATAGCCAGGAGGGCGGAGCCCACGAAGCCCCCTCGGAAACGTAAGGAAGCTGGAACAGCGTCCGAGAGAAAGAGAGAGAGAGAGAGGGACAGACAGACAGACAGACAGACAGACGGGCATCCAGAGGACCCGCTCTGCCTGGAGGAATGTGCACCAAGGCAGGATCCACAGGACTCTTCAGACCAAGCAGTCCCCACACCCCCCTCAGGGAAGACACACAGATTGTGTTATGCAAACGAAGCCCCAGGCTAATTAAGGAAATAGGTCACTCGAAAAAGTCAATTTTGAACATGAAGACGAGCCATCTATATCATTTTGCCACATGTCAAAACAAATAATCATCTGAGGAAAGAATTAATGAGGACGCCTATCATTTCGTCTTGGAACTTCCTGGCGGGGGGGGGGGGGGGGACGGCGTGGACCGTCCCTGGGGTTCCAGAAAAAAGCCAATGCGCTTCCATGGCTCGGTGAGGCTTGTGACAGTCTACACCTGACTGCGTAGGAACGGGATGGCGGCCGATTCTGTCCACCGCAACAGGTTACGCCGTGTAGACAGGAGGCCCCACCGAAATGGATGTGTCTGTAGCATCGTCCAAGGTTTCTTTTTCATCTTTATCTTGGGGGGGATCGCACCTGGCTGTGCTCAGGTCTGACTCCTGGCTCTGCACTCAGGGCTGACTCCTGGGGTGCGGGGAATCAAATGTGGGCCAGCAGCATGCAAGGCGAGCGTCCGACCTGCTGTAATAACACTCTGACCCGACAAACTCTCAAACGGACACCTTCGCCCTAAGTCCACTCAGGTTCAAAACCGCCCTCCTGAAGTGCGGGACAAAAAAACAGGCCCCTGGGTTCCCAGGAGGCCATTCCTGCAGGGACTCGCTCAGCCAACAGCCCGGGGACCCTCAGGGAGGCAGGCACAAGCCACGGCCACGCTCCTCCCTGGGGAAGCAGGGTCCACACGACTCTCTTCTGACTCTGGAATGTGCCTGTGGATTCGAGGCCCAGCTCTGGCGCTTCACCTACAACACGTCTTGAAGCAACTCAAACCCTCTCCTTGGCCTCTGCCGCAAAATGAAGCGTTGGCTTGACGTGGGACACAGACGGTCTTGAGCTGAGTCCTTCCTCTCTGGCCCTTGGGGAGGCCGGCAGTAATCTGAGTGTGAAGTGCGCAGCCGACGGAGGGGAAGGGAGACGGGAATGAGGGGCTTGGAAGATCTCCACGTGGGCACCTTGGGGTTCTTCTTGTTGTTGTTTGGGGGTCACACATGGTGGTGCTCAGGGATCACCCCTGGTGGGGGGGAGGGCCCTAGGGGGTGTCGTGGATTGCACCTGCGTCTGGCGCTGTCCCTGGAGGCAAGTGTCCCTTCGGCTGAGCCTTGGCTCGGCCTCTGCCTTGGGACTCTGAAGTGAGCAGTGACTTCTAAACCTACTGTATGTGTTTTTTTGTTTTGTTTTTGTTTTTTTCCTGGCTCTGCACTCAGGAATTACTCCTGGTGGTGCCCGGGGGACTATAATGAGATGCTGGGAATTGAACCCGGGTAGGCCGCGTGCAAGACAAATGCCCTCCCCGCTGTGCTATCGCTCCAGCCCTCCAAACCTATTTTAGAAGGTGTTTTCCTCACACCCCATGTCCTTTTCAGAGCCCGGCTTAACAAGAGACGGTGAGAAAAGGGCTTCTGTGCTTCCCCACGTGATCTAATGCATCTCTCAGGGTGAAGCGGGGCTGGGCGGGTGGAGGGGTGGGGGGGGGGGGGGTTGGCAGGGCAAGTCCTTGCTCTCTGATCCCTGCAGCCCACCAGCCCCCAACAAGCACCAGCCCTGTGCTGCGCCGACCTTGAAGTCACCAGCCCCTGCTCCCAGACTCTCCCCTCCTGGGCAAGCATGTGTTTCCCCACACAGATCACAACTGCACGTGGGTTCTGGGGGCCAGAAGCCTGCCACCGAACCAACTCATGGATATATATATTTTTCTCTTTTAACAAAGAAAACTAGATGTTTCTAAAATTAATGCTAATCATAAATATCAAATTTGTGTGAACTCTCTACATGAAACCCCAAAGGCTATTTTTTTTCTAATTTTTTTTCCACTTTTTGGGTCACACCCAGCGATGCACACGGGTTACCTCCTGGCTCTGCACTCAGGAAGTCACTCCTGGCGGTGCTCGGGGGACCCTATGGGATGCTGGGAATCGAACCCGGGTCAGGCGCGTGCAAGGCAAACATCCTCCCTACTGCGCTATCACTCCAGCCCCAGGCTGCTATTTCTTTTTCTCGTGTTTTCCATATGCCCAGATCCCACTCGCATCCACACAGGAAGTGACAGCCGAGGCGGGCAATAGGGCTGGGGCTGGTGTGCCCTGCAGCGCCCACTGCATGCCCGGCCCCTCGGCGAGTCCCGGGAGCACCAGTGTCCCCAGGACACCTGTGGTCTCAGTGTCCCCACTCTCCCTCAGCCCTCCTGGGGCCCTGGTGGGGAGTGAGCCCTGTCCACACCACAGGGCAGTCTGAACCCCTTGATGACCACTCCCTCAGTGAGACTCTGGACGCCTGGCAGTTCCACGTCTCTTCCACCACGTTACGGCTGCACGCGCCCAAACCTGTCCTTTATTTCACACGCTTTGCCACCCCTCTGCCTTGCCCTTCGGCGTACTTTTTACTTTCATTTTTATCCTTTACCTCGCCAAGGTCCCTCTCGGTTTCTGATTCCTCCGGGGAAGCCCTCTCTGGGACGCTGAAAAACTGCTGCTTCGGGACGAGAAAACCAGACACCTCCCCTGGACACCCATGACCATCTTGGCACCCAGTGCTCAGGAGTCACAGACCCCCAGGCCCCGAACGGGGGTGGGTACTGCGGAAGCAGCCAGGAGGTGGCCAGGGCAGATCGGGGTTGGGGCTGGGGGAAAGGCACCTTCCCTCGTCCCTGCTCTCAGGGAGTCCGGCTGGAGACAGAACCACAGAGCCAAGAAGCCAAGAACAAACGCTGCCATTGTCTGCCGCTCACTCAGCCACCTGAGGGCCCCGGGCCCAGGAGCACCCCGGGTCAGCACCAGGCCATCCTGGACTCTAGCTCCTGCCCCCTGGGGACCAGCACGAACCTGACTCCCAGCCTGAGCAGCCACCTTGCTCCTAAAACAACGCGCCTGTTACCACAGAGACAGACACGACCCAACTCCATCTCCAGCCTCAAATCTGGTCTCCCTGGTGCTGTCCACGTGCATGTGGCTCGCTCAGGACCCACATCTTTGGCACCTAGGCCCTCCCCTTCTCTCAATGGACGCTTTCAGGAGGGACGGGAACTTTGACAGCATCCCCTCACTGCGGGGCCTGGCGCTCACCCCAGCTTCGGCTATACAACAAACCCTAGATGCATGGATAGATGGATGGATGGATGGATGGAAGGATAGACCGATGGAAGGATGGAAGGATGGATGAATGAATGGATGGATGGGCAGACGCACAGATGGATGGATGAGTGCAAGGATGAACAGAGAAGAAATGGCACAAGATTTACCTATCACAATCTCACCCATGTCCTTAAGAACAGTTTGTCAATAGAGACGCTGAGTAGATTCCGAGATCCACTTTTTCAATACTATACAGCTCTACTTTTTTTTTTCTCCCTCTTTGGGTATTGATAGTAATGAGTACCATCAGGCCCTCATTCCGTTAGATTTTCTTTAAAAATCTTCAGCAAAGATGCTCACCCAATTATTTGCCACAATAAGCATTTTTTCACAAAAACAGAAACAGTCAATACCAACCGATTTAGCTTATCCTAATTTCTATGAGACAAACGGGTAGAATCATACTTACATATAATGTAATAATCTCTGTTCTTCTGAAATTCTAGCCCCCAGAGGTTAGGGCTGAATTCTTGAAACTTGATGGTGAACTTCACGTCCTGGTCCGGCTTGGCACAGTTGAGGAGGGGGGTGTTTTCCTTCTTAACTGTGCATCTGTCCGCCTGGTCCTTATCGACCATATAAACTTTATAATATTCATACTGGCCAACAGTCTTAGAGTCCACTTTGGGGCAAATAATATCCAATTTGTCTCCTATCTGTGGGTATAGTACCAGTCCTTGTCCAGGTAGAAATCTAGAAACATGAAATGAAAAAAAAAATACATAAGGCATTGAGTGGATAAGAATCATAGTGGCTAAATCACTACAGTACAGATAGGAAATATCAAAAACCAACCACACTTGCATGGGGCAGGAGAATCAGCAGCCGCTCGGGGGGGCACGGGCCGGCTGTTTGGGAATCAGAGAAAGTGAGTCTCCCGCCCGGTGCAGACAGCAAGGGCTCAGCCCGCACCCCTGGACCCAACCCTGCGGTCAGCGAGGGCACCATGCACCCCTCGCCTGCCTGCAGCATTTCGGGGTGCCTTTGTGTGGCATCCCAGGAGAGGCGCTCTTTGGCGGGAATCGCGCCCCCCCCCCCCCCGCCTGTTTGGCTGTTTTTTAAACCCTGGCAGCCTTCCTTGGTGGCAGCGGGGCCAGGGACCACCAGAGTCACTAGCAGTCCTAGCAGTCGGCTGTCCTGTTAAGTTTCCATTTGCTGTTGCTGTTAATTAACAGGCAAGTTTCATCAAGAATGTTTCAAATGACTTATCATAATTAGTCACCGATCAAACAATGGGCTTCTTATTACCCGAACAAAAGCCATGTCTTAGGGACCCATAAAAGATAAGCAGGAATAATTAGCTGTGCTATTGGTTTGGTGGCCAGGTGAGGAGTGCCCCCGGCGGCATGGGGGCAGGTCACGGGCATCCTCACTCTAGAGATCGGGGTCCCCTCCCCCCCCCAGACGACTCACTCCAATTAGTTCTGAGCAACCCCCACCCCCCAAAACCCAGCTCGGAGCATCCCCACACTCCCCCCCCTCATTCCCGCCCGGTTGCCTGACTGTTGACAGATCTTTGTTCATGGGGAGTTTCTGAAAAGAGAAACAAGAGCTTCCAAAGGAACACCCTGGGACAAGTGCTCCCTCCAGCAACGCACTTAGGAACCCCTCCTGTCCTGATGCAGCCAAGCCCGCAGGCTCATTAAAATATTAAAGGGAGAACAAAGCAGCACGTGGGAGACCCTCCCAGCCCCCTCCCCGGAGCAGAGCGGGGGACCACCAGCCACCACCACTAAGAGGCTGTGATTCAGCAAGTGCAGAAGCTGGGAGGGTGGGGTGCTGCCCCCCACCCCGATTCCCAATCCGGCCCCTGGGGTAAGCAGGTTATGATTTATAACGAGGAACGGCATTTTCTGAAAGGGACATGAACGAGGCTGGTTGGAGGCATCGTGGAACAGAACAGAAATTTCCCGATAGGTTTATGTTAGGAACCAGTGCTCGGCATGGCAGGGAAGGTGCAGGACTCGCTTTCCCTGTGGGGAGTGGGAAGGACCCTGTCACTGTCCCCAGACGGCAGGGACCCCCCAGCGGGGGCGGGCAGGGTTGGGGGGCGCCTTTTAGGGTAGGAGGTCCTTCAGGAAGGGAGCCCGAAATTCTAGCAGAAGACAAAAAGTTAAAAGGAACCATCTTCACGTCTTTCCTTCTTTCCGTAAAGATGCCAAAGAAAGAGTTTCCATATAATGGATGACCCATTCCACACATCCCTGTAGGGGTCCCTGAAGAACTTTCCAGAACTTTTGACCCATGTCCCTCAACACTTGTCAAAAGAACTTTCTGGGTCATTTCTACAGTTTCTCGGGGGTGGAGATGCTTCAAAACTCCCAAGTCCAGAGCACTGAGCCAGGGCCATGGCCGGGCAGGGGCTAGGGGACTGCCCAGGCCTCGGGCGCGTTTCTCTGCCCCTCCCCTCCCACAGTTCCATCTCTCTGTCAGTCAAACACACCAGGAAGGGCTGAAGCCAAGTGTCTGTGGCAAAGCTCGGCATGTCCCTGGACATGGACACGTACATAGCATGGGGGAGATGCCCTGCTCCACTACAGTGCTCCCCTATGCACCCCTACAGTGCTCACCTATGCTCCCTTATAGTGTTCATCTCTGCTCCCCTAAAGTGCTCGCCTCGGCTCCCTTAAAGTGCTCACCTTGGCTCCCCAACAGAGCACGTCCTCTGCTCATCCCCGGAAGTGTCCTGGGCTGTGAGCGCCAAAGCCCCTCCCCGCCCCCACCGGCACCCACCACACACCCACACGTCCCCGACACCTGCTCCCGTCACGGCTGACCCCATGGGTCGTGAGTCACAAACGCTCCCCACAGCTGCCCGAGTGCACTCGTCACCCGCCTCTGCCCGCCACCTCTTTCCCTGCCCACGGCCCACCTCTTCACAACCGCCCTCTCTGAGGGGCGGGCCCAGAAATCCGGGAGCAGGGTCCCTGCATGGCCACCAGCCAGACCCACTGACTCGGTTCTTGGAAGAAACACCCGGGATGCCCCAGACCCCTCTCGGGTTATGTTAGACACAAGCAGCGTGTCCTGCTGAGTGGACATGTCCTGCTGCCCAGGAAGGAGGCCCTCTCCGCCCACAGAGCCCGGGCCCAGCCTGGCCAGCGCTGGCGGGGTGGGGAAGAAGAAGAGCTGCCCATGGGCATCTCGTCCTAGCACACAAGGCTCTCGGCTTCTGGGGGAAGGGGGACACGGATGGCCCAGGAGAAACTGACCACCAGGGCAGGGCAGGGCAGGCCACGCTACCCCCATCCACAGGTGCGATGTGCCCCCCAGATGGCAGACAGCAGTCAACTCCAGACTCTGCAAAGCGCCAACCCCTCAGCACCCACCCGGGCAACACTGAGGCAGAACCAGGCACTCTGGGGGGCCGGAGGGATGGCCGGGCAGGGAGGGCATGGTCACGTGGGCTGGGGCTGCCCGGGTTCCATCCTGGAACCCCACAGGCTGTCCTGAGCACAGAGCCGGGAGGAAACCCTGAGCACTGTCAGGTGCAACGCCGACGAGAGAGTGCTGAGGAAGTTTGTACGAGCGTTCCTTTGAAAAATGACTGCTTTAGGGGCCCGATTGCTTTAGCACAGTGGAGAGGGCATTTGCCTTGCACGCCGCCAACCCGGGTTCGATTCCCAGCATCCCATATGGTCCCCCGAGCACCACCAGGAGTAATTCCTGAGAGCAGAGCCAGAAGGAACCCCTGAGTATTTATTGCCAAGTGTGACACAACAAGCAAAAATAATAATAATACTGCTTTATTTAAATTAAAAACCAACAAGCACCTCACTCAGTGCCTTAGCGGCTGACTTTAGAATCTACACACCACAAGGGCTGTCAGGCAAATGCTCTGGGCTCTGGGAATTTACGAGCTTACCCTGCGGTCAGGCAGGGCCGGGCTGGCTGAGTCAGCACAGGCCCCGGGGCCCACAGCTGTGTGTCCCCTCACTCCTAGGAGCTGCTGAGGCAGCAGAAGGGAACAGACCGGCGATGAGAAGCCAAAGGTCAGGCCATTACCTCACGCCTAGAATGGGATCTGCGGCCAGGACCTCCGGGCAGGTGGGCCACCAGCAGGAGGGGGATTCCCAGGTGGGTGGGAAGGGGCAGTGTTTGGGGGCTTCCCCGGAGCACTGGAATATGAGTCTTTTCTCCTGCCCACGGGGCCCTTCCAGGACCCCCAATAACAAGGCACTTTGGCCAAGAGCTCCCTGGCTCTGGACGCGTGCTAGCGGCCAGGTGCTAACCACTTGCTTGCTGGAGATCATCCCGGCAGGACCCTTTGACTCTGAACGACATTAGGGGGCAATCAGAGAAAGTCTGGGGGCGCCCTAGACAGCTGGGTGCGGGAGCCCGGCCGGTCAACCTTACGCCAGGAAGCCGAGGAAGAGGGTGATTACAGAACTGCTATTCCAAGGGATAGTAGAGATGGAGTCCAGACAGTTCATGCAGAAAGAAAAAAAAAGGGGGGGGAAAGGAAGAATCTACAGCCCCATTTTTCAGGAGAGACAAACCCTGTGGAACTGGGGGGGAACTCCTGGCTCTGTGCTCAGGGATCACACCTGCCCGGGCTGAGAGGACCATACAGGATACTGGAGATCAAGCCTGGGATGGCTTCGTGCAAGGCCTTATCCCCTGGACTCTTCCCGGCCCCTCTACTGTACTTCTGATTTTAAAATGAGCAATTCTGGGGTTGGAGTAATAGCATAGCGGGGAGGGCATTTGCCTTGAATGCGGCTGACCCGGGTTTGATTCCCAGCATCCCATAGGGTCCCCTGAGCACCTCCAGGAGTAATATTCTTGAGTGCATGAGCCAGGAGTAACCCCTGTGCATTGCCAGGTGTGACCCAAAAGGGAAAAAAAAAAAAAGCGATTCTCTGAGTTAAGAGTCAGCCAGTGCTCAAGCTGTTTCCTCTGAAACACTGGGTCTTGTGTTGAGAATTATCAATTCAAGATTGCTTAGAAACTCACTGAGTAACACAGACATCTGGTCTACCCCGGCTCTAACTAGATGCTCACGGCCAACCCTGACCTCAAAATCAGCCAGCTTAGGAAGGACAAACCAAAGAATAATTGTGAGGATGATCAGGTCACCCAAAGAAGCTCCCTCCTCAGGGCCCTGCCTCACACCTGAGGTTGTTTGAGTTTGGCTGCGCCCAAACAGAAAGTAGTTAGAGGTATCGTTTCATCAAGTCTGCCAGGTTTAAATCCAGAGAGAAGGCCTAGAGTTATGGGCCCCTGAGAGCCTGTTTCCGCAGGCCAGGGGCCCCAGGAGGGGCTGGGGTGGGGGGGTCCCTCCCTCCCCAGCACGAGTCTCAGCCAACTTCTTGGGCAGGCCAAGGAGAGCTGTAAACTGACTGGATAGTGCACAGCGGCCTAAGCTAATAGCTCAGGCTTCCCAAAGTCACCCCGCCTGAAAGGACACAGCGCAACCTTGCCTTTTTTTCAAGACATCATTTGATTACCTCTCAAATTTAATCCCTGTTTTTAAAAGTTACTCATCAAACCAGACTCTCGTACCTCACAAGGGAATACGCTGAATCAACCTAATAAACTAAATTAGACATTAATAACTAGGAACCTAGATTAGATCTCTGATCATCTAAATTAGACACTTCATCATTGTAGGAGCTTTTTTTTTTTTTAATAACACAACTATGAGGTGACACGTTGTTCTTTGAAGTTTTGCCCACACGAGAGCCCGTGCA